AACATTTAAACATTTATAAAAGTATTGAAAACTAACAAAAATTTTATATGAAAATAATGTAAAAAACAAAATTTGTAAGTATTTGAACAACAAAATATTTAAAATCAAAAATGTTAATAAAAATATGCAAATTTTGATAGAAATTTAAACGAAATTTTCTTTAAATAATTAAAATAATATATTAATTTAATAACTAAAGATTTTATACAAAATTGTATAAAAAAAGAAAGAAGGCTATTATTTAAAAGCGGTAAATGTTTTATATAATTATTTCAAAATTTTAAAATAGGATTAAAAAAAATTTAAATAAAAAACAAAAAATAATAAAAGTAATAAAAAGTTATTAATACTATTCAGAAATGAAAGATATAAAATATTTTATGGGAAATACGAATAATTTTTAAAAGTACTTTAACAGAAAAATATTAGAAGTCTATAAAAAATATTAAATATTAAAATTATATATATAAGGAAATTGAAAACTATTTTATTAGAAATTCAAACGAAAAGTTTCCTTAGTATTTAAAATATTCATAAAAAATTATATAAAAAAAAAATGGATACATATCAAAAATATTTTGTAAAAAATTAAGAACTATTAAAAAAATTGAAAAGCAAAATTCAAAAAAAAACTTAAAAGAAATTATTATAATAGGTGAAGTTAAAAAAAATTTTATTAGAAGTTCATATAAAAAAACTTAAAAAAGTTAAATAGTATTTCGTTGGATTTAAAAAAAAATACTAGGTATTATATATTATATTATATATATAAAATTTAATAAAAAAAATTTCATTATATAAAAAAAAAACACATCAAAAAATTATAAAAATTAAAAAATTTTAAATATCTCTATATTTTTTTTGTTATTTCACCCCATTTTTGCACGCATGCAAGTACTTGAAGAAAGACAACTTCTTTTTTGCTCATTTACATGTCTTCACATTTTTCAACGATTACAACTCACAATAAGCTCAAATCCTCAAAGCGCCTCACTAAGCTGCTGCTTTCAACAAAATATTCAACAGCTTCCAGCTCAATGGAGCAAAAGGTGTGTGATTGGGAACAACCCTCATCGTAGCAGCTTGTTCAAAAACTAAGCAACACGGTGTAATCATCTCATCATATGCCATACACCGCAACCCCGCCTTCCGACGACCAGTGGGATATCCGCACTTAGCAGCCGACCCAATTCATTATGCTCACGACCCACTACTATACGGAGAAATTTGTGGCAGTTGAAATTAGAAAACTACGTAATTTTGTTCACCAGCAGCCGCACACGTTGCTTGCAACCACCACCACCACCAAATGCATTAACAACATTTATTTATTACTTTTGTTATTATTGTACGTACAATGTGTACGTCGCGTAAGTTTGTATAAATTGTAAGCCTAAGTGCTGCGTATCCTTAATGCCACCCTACCGCAACTTAATCTAAGCATATGCCAATAATTGCCTTATGTTGTTGTAGCTGTTGGTATTGGTATTGGTGTTGGTGTTATGTGCCCTCCTCCCCTTCCCTTAGAAAGTAATGCATAAATGTTGCACTTTTTATTACGCACAGCTCTATGTACATGTGCTGTGTGTATGTGTGTGTATGGGTTTATTGTGCGTTGTGGGAAAGGCGCAAAGCAAATGTTAAACTGTCATAAATCAAATCACTTAAATAAGCAAAACAAATAAAGAAAGCAATTTTCTCTTTTTGGTTTTTCAAAATTGTTTGCAATTTTCTTTTTTGAAATGAACAAAAAAAAAAAAAAGTGTACGTGCTTGTTGTTCGTGGAAAAGAGAAAAGCTGTTGCTAAATTAGTTAAGCAACACATGCAACGAATTTTTGCTTCCATTTAAGGGTGTGCAAAATTTTTTTATTTACTTATTTATTTTTCATTTTTTGTTCAATGCAATCGTGTGATAAAGCACAAGTCGCCGCCGAATCATATGTTGCATGTTTGAGTGTTTTCGGCTTGATAAAAAATGTGTTAAAATAAAATTTCGTAACATATGTGTATGAAAGATTGACGAAAAACGTGCCGAATCACGGTTTCCTTTGTGAAATGCCTGGTGCACGTACAAAAGAAAGTCTGTCAAGCAGTGCTGATAATTTCAGTTCAATGTTTGTAAAGTTTTGAAGAATATTTTTTTTAAGAATTTAGAGACGTTTTTTTATCGTTTTGGATTATAAAAATATTCGACGAAATCTTAAGTTATCATAAATGTTAATGCCTAGAACATTATTAACGCCGTATCAAACTCAAGCAGCCTGAATGTAGGCAACAATTAATGAATCAATTGCAACTCTGACAATATTTAAACGATTTAGTATACACTCTTGTTGTTATTAATACTATCTTACATTAACTTTGTATATTTCAAATCTTGCTGATTACCAATTTCGTTTAACAAACGCCTAGATGTAGGACATATTTTTTAAAATATTTCAACTTAACCGATTTCGTTTGATAAATACTCGAAAGAAAATACTTATTATTAGCTTTAAATGCAAAAAAATTACAATTTCTATATATGACTAGAACTATATTTAACAACCGCCTAGATGTACGCCAAATTTTTTTTTAATTTTTTTTGAAAACAGCGCGAGTTTGTTAACTATTTCTTCAAGAAAAACTGTTATTTAAAAATTTCAGGGAGAAATAGCTAACATTTCTAATTGATCTTAGAAATATTTTACAAAAATATGGCCTTTGGCAATGTTAGCCCATATGTAGACTACGATATATCTTTGAAGGAAGTCAAGCAGTTAGGCTACGCTCATAAAATGTCAGTAAATTCTGTTTTATTATTTAAATAATTTGCTACTGTTATCACATTATTTTCATTGAGTTAAATATTCTATTTTTATGCTAAACCCTTCACAAAACAGCATACGAAAATTTTCGTAAAGAAAATTTGAGTTACATTCTTAACTTTACACTAATATCAATGTCCTTTTCTGAATATCTTTCCGGACACTGTTCCTTTTTAGCCTAATGGTAAGCAATATATTACAATATAAGATGTTGTCTTAAATTATTAGGAGAAATGTATATTAAATACATATATTTGTGCTTCTCATTGAATGTTTCTTTGTCAAACCATCCTAAATGTAGGCAATAATTACAATGAATTCCTTTTTTTTAGTTTTTTTTAGAATTTTTTGACGTTTGAACTCATTATTCTATATTTTGTTAAGCAACCACGAAATGTTGCCTACAATTAGGCTTATTTTTAGCGAGGTCACATACCAAATAAGAAACTTTTTAATAAAGTGCTTTTCTCAAGTTAATTAGGAAGCATAAAACAAACGGTTAATTATTAAATTTTAAAAAAGAAACCTTTAAAAAGCATAAGAGTTTTCTTTAAGATATTTTTTGCGATTAAATTAGCTCAGTAAAAACTATGCTGTATTTGAAATCCCGAAGCTGCTGGATCGGGTTACTGTGAAGGGATTTTTACGCCCAATATTAAAATTAAACCGCGCTTATCGCTAGAGCAAACACTAATTGGTTTTACAAAGCATTTTTTACCCAAAAGCAAATTATGTATAAAAAATGTTACAGCGGAAATTGTATCAAAATTTATCAACATCTAAAAATTGAAGCCAAAAATGTAACCTTTTTGCTACCAAAATTAATTGTGACTTACACTACACGTTTATAAGGATCTCTCACAAAGTTGAGTGCATCTAACATGCTCAGTGAAATATGGCCAGTAGATAATGAATTTGTCTCAATCAGTCTCCCCTTCCTGTCAGACAATTAGACATTTTAGAATTTTTTTTTTTTGCTGACTCTTGATAAAGAAAACAAACATCTGTCGTGCTGAGGCGGCATTTCTTCGCACCCTACATATAACTTATGTATTGTACATACATACACATCCGTGTGCATGAATACACATATGGTAAATTTTTTCAAATTTCTTTCGTTGTTGAACTGCTGCCTTTCGCTAAGCATTTTTATTTTATACAAAAAAGGAAAAAAGGAGACATCCCCCTCTGCGACATCTTATTCTTATAATTTTTTTCTATGGCTTTTAAGGTAAACCGACAATTTTCAGTCTGAAGTAGAGTAGAAGAAAAAACAAAAACAACAAAGGCACACACTTCAACAGAATTTTAATTGCATTATACCTATATCACTGCCATTATACCTATAATTTTCAATTATTCTGCTGTTATTAATCTCAGCGAAAAGGACTGCATACCATTGATAGGCGCATACAAACATATGTACATACTTAGTATGTATGTATGTACATATGTAGTATAGGCGACATATCTTTGCCGACAAGAGCTAACCGCTAAAATCGGTTTGAAAGAATATAATTGAGTTGTCACTTAAAATTGGTTTCACGTTGTGCGCACAGATAGACACTGCAGCAATTTGTGTTGTAAGCGAAACCTTTTTCATATTTAAATCCATAAAAAAAAGTTTCTCATAATTTGTAATAGTAGAGTTATGCATTTTTGTTAAATTTTTAAGTGAAAAAAATTGTTGTTTATTATATTATATTATAAGTAAGCCAAAAAGCGTGTTATTTTCAAAATTTCGTGAAGTGGACTTATGCACTTTTGGAAAAAATTTGGTAAAAACTCGTTTGCTAGGTTAAATTTCACGTGCTACTTTTAATGCAAGCCATTAAAATTTAATTTTTTCAAAATTTTTAAATATCGAGTTGTGTTGTTTTGACCTAGTTTTTAGTATAGACCAACCATTAAATGGAATTATTTTGCGTATCTTTTAAATACGCATTTAACATATATTTATCAGCACTTTTTGGGCGCACTCAATATCTATATACATATGTACATATGCATATGTATGTTTTGAGCGCTGTTGCAAGTAGCTGCCAAAGTTTACAGACACTTTTATGGCTTGAAAATTTTTATAATTCCACACACACGCGCTCATTCACTCCAATAAACATATATGTTTGCCTGTGTTTGTATTTTTTCTTTTTTCATTTGAATAAAATCAATTTACTGTAATACAAACTCACCTGCAACACAATTGACAACGCCAATAAATGCCAATAGCACCAGCAATCACTTCACTTTAAGCTGCACAAGCATTTAAAATGCTTCAGATCCAATTAGTAATAGGTGGCACGTAAATAATCCAATTCAATTGTGATTTGTTAAGCAAATACGAGGAATGTTGCAAGTACGTAGGAGAGTTTGAATAATAAAAAAAAAAGAAGAAAACGCACGCACAGGTAAAAGCAAATAAATTTCTATTCTCCGCGCAAATTCTTGTGCCTAAACAGACATGTGTGCACACATATTTATTTACACACACAGAGACACTCAAACACAGTCGCGAAAAAATGTTAAAGATGACACTTTCAGTTACTCTCGTATGCGTATGTACATATGTTGCAAATAACAAATCACAAACGAATCAACGACGACGCACTAATGTTTACACCGACAAAACACGTATTTACAGTGTAATGTTTACTGTGGGTCACACACACATGCACACGTACATACAGGTATGCACGCACGAGTAAAATGTTGCAAGCGACAAAATAATTTTATTTACTATGCAAATTTCTACTAAATACGTGATTGTTACTTGTTGTATGTTACGAGTAAATGTTGCACGTTGTTGGATTGAGTGTGGTTGTTGTTGTTAGTGGTGATGGTGATGGTGTTGGGGACTGTAAGAAGAAATACATTTTGCTTTAATATTTATCAGATTTATTTTTCTCTAATTTTATTTAGTTTTTATTTTTTTTGCCGTTGTTATTGTTTGTGCAACAAAAAGGAAATGTCGCAATTTGCAGTAAAAATGATGTAAACTATTTTTTACACACTCTCTAAAGCACACTTTCCGTCAATACATATATATTTATAGATATTTATTAGTGGCAACTGTTTGCTTGTTGTTGTTGCTGTCATTATGGCCTTTAATACACTTGCCGCAGGTTCGGAGTTTTCTTGGTTGCAGCATTCCTATGTTGTTGTTATTATTTGTGCAATTTCGCAAAAGCCGGTTGTCCACAAGCTGGAGTAAAGCTAGCTGAAATGTATGTATGTATGTATATATGTAAGTACGTGTGTATATTTGAGTGTTGCAAGTAGTTGATGGCCGGCCAGCAAGTTTACGCTTTTTTGGTTTTGTTGTCGCTGCTGACGTTGTTTTGCTGGAAAATTAGCGGGGCGTAAGCGCACACTCAACTGCGAATATATATATATATGTATGTACATACACAATACTATGCACCGACAGACAGGCAAACCGACAGTAAGCCATATGAGAGGCCGTAAAAGCGGACATGCAGGCGAGCAGGCAAAAAAAAAAAAAAATAATAATATAAACACATATGTATGTATATGTTGCAAAAATGTGTTGCCAGTATGTGTTCCAAGTATGTGCCACTGAACAAGTTGCAAGAAAAATGCAGTTGTTGCTATTGTTGTTAGCTGTGCTAGTTGTTTTCAATGCTAGTATTTTTTCACATCTTTTTCGTCTTTTTCTTCTTTTTCTTCTTCTTCTTTATAAGCTACCACCAGCCGCCGTTTATGCCACAGCTTCGTCCAAGCGTTGAATCAACGAAGCAAATCGCGAATTGTTTGCAGTTGATGACCGCGTCCGACGCGGCAACATCCGCGACGCTGATGATGATGATCATGATGGCAATAACGACGACAGCAACAACAACAACAACAACTAAAACAACAATTACAGCAACGGCTAAAAAAATTAAGCGCAAAAGCAAAAGACAGCTAAAAGCGACAAAAGCAAAAGAATTGTACAACAACAACAACAGAAACATCAACAAACGATAAACGTTTGGTAGTTTACACTAAGAACAACAGCAACAATAACAATAGATGCAACAGCAATAAAAACACTTTATTTGTTGTTGTTAGTGTTGTCATTGGCGTCATTGTTTGTTGCTGTTGTTTGTTCATATACATATTTGTGACTTTGGGCTGTTATCGTTACTGTTGACAAAAACAATAACAACAACAACAAGAACAACAATAACAAAACTATTGGCCCAAGGTACAAAAAACTATTGTTGCAAGCACAATAAAGCTAGCAACGTCATTGAAATATTGAATTTTTGCAGCTAATTGTCGTTTTTAATTTTGTTAAATTTATTTCCATGCCACCTGCAACACATGCCCGCATGCATATGCAAATGTTTGCCGGAATTTCATTTAAATACTTGCATGCAACAAATGTCATTGCAACGGTTTATACCTAACTTTTAAGCACAAAATTATTACATTAGAGCGCAAAAAATTTTAAATCCTTTACAGTAACAGATTTTAACAGTTTTAAAAATTTGAAATAATTTGAAAAAAATTTTGAAATATTTGTAAATTTTTTTTTTTAATTTTTGAAAATTTTCGAAATTTGAAATTTTTTTTTTAATTTTTGAAAAAGTTTTCGAATTTTTTTTTCACGGCTCCTCCTCTATCTCACTTCAAAACAAGCGTTTCAGCGCATTTGCAGCACTTAATTAATTGCGCTAAAGTGGTTTTCCTCTCACTATCACTACCAACTCAATTAAAGTCTATAAATAAGCGACCATTTAAGCGACTATTTAGAGCGAGCTCTACACATTTCAAGTGCCAGCTGCAATTTGATGCATAAAATTCTATATATTTTATCTAATTAAATAGACAATAACAAGCCTTTCAATACGAATTTGTTACGAAAATTAGTATGAAAGGCAACACTTGACGCACAGCTGCCTATCTCGTATATACATAGAGACGAATCTATATGAGAGGGCGGGATCAATTTATGGGCACTTGAGTTTTGAAAACCCCCTTGAGGCATGCTTTTGGCATGTGAAAGGCTGAGCAGCTCGAGCTAAGCCTCTTTGAGGTTGCATGCAACACATTTATTTCAATCAATTTTCTTATCAATAACAAATTGCATGACTTTTTTTCTTGAAGAAAAGCACAAACTTATGTGTGTCATTTAAATTTCTACGCTTCGGTTTGCGTAATTCACTGAGTTCAGCTCAAAAGTCGCTTTCAGTGTAGAAAAAAGCTAATTTTAATTGATAAGCAGGCAACATTGTGAGGGATTTTTCGTTTTTCTTGCTGCTGCTTTTTAGGTCACGCTAATGTATAATTAAATTTTGAAAATATCATATAATTTTATTACCATTTGCTTAATGACGCGCGGGTTTTTGTACCGTAATTAATATTTTTACGTTTTTTATTTTTGCCTTTGCATTGCTGTTTGAATTCAAAGGCTGGATTTTGCTGTTGATTTCATACAAAATTTGTCTGAAAATTCACTTTTTGACTTGTGAATTTTATTTTTTCAACAATGAGATTTGCGATTTTGTTTAAATTTTTTATTTAATAATTTAGTTATATTTTTGTACTTTTTCCATTTATAAATATACATAAATACTTATACATAAGTACATATTTACAATGCTACTTTTGCATTTTTACGAAATTTTTTTCATATATTTTTTCACTTTGGCACATGCTGCAGCGTTTTACACTACATTTCACTTTGTTCGTTTTTTTTATTTATTTTTTTTTTTGTATTGTAATTTGTTTAAAAATTTCAAATTTTTGTTTATCTCGATTTAAATTTTTTTGTTTCAATTTAAAATTTTTTCTTGTTTTTTTTTTCTTCGCTCTTCCTCCGACACACCGTTCGTTCGTTCGTTTAGCTGACGAATCCGTGTATATTTTCGCTTCCGCACGCCAAACGCAGCGCTGCAAGTTTACTTCAATCGATTTGAACCGGTCTCAAGCACTGAATCGCACTCAATGGAAACAGGTCCGTCGAAGCTAATATTTTCCGGCACAGCGCGACACTTAACGCATTGAGCCGAACAGTGAGCTAGAGCTAACTATGCGAGCGCAGTGGCAAGAGCTGAATACACACATCCGACTATGTATGTATGTATGTATGACGTGTATGTTGTGGCCAAAATGCCAGCCCAGTTGGGCCACAAGCACAATTTCACTCAATTTCATAAAAATCGAAGTGGCTGATGGGTATGTAGCCAGTTGATGGCGCTACCTAGCTACCTTGCTACCTAGTTGTACGCTGAGTAGTTGTTGCTTTTGTTGTGTTTCATTTGCCAACCATACCCACGTACAGCGCACGTTCCATAACAGCATTGTTGCATACGCATCCATGAGATACAAAACAAAACGTTTGTCACTCGCGCTCGTATCTGTTGAGTTGTTCGCTATGAGTGGTATTTGAGTGTTAATAATACATACTCAGGAGGACAAAAATTTTACTCTTGAGTTTTGTGCGCTTGGAATATGTGGCATAAGCGAAACACTCACTGTTAAATGCGCTGCTGCTCTTTCACTCATTCGGGTGTTGAGTTTTTTCCATGCGCCGAAATGAGTAACTCCGTCACTCAACTCTCTTTGATTTTTAATACACTCCAATTGGAAATTTTCACGTTCTCGTGTGTCTCGGGCAGTTACAAATTGAGTTGTTGAACGCGGGAATGGTGTAAATATGAAACATGTTATTAAACAGGAACCTCGCTCGCTCGCTATGCACATGAATGTGGACACACACATATATATATGTGTTTATGAATACATATGAAAACACACTTGCCTACATATGCCAAATGCTGATTGCATTTAATAAGCCTGTTTTGTTTTGTTTTGTTATTTGTTACTTGTGGCTAACATATCCGACTGAGTGGTACATATGAATGTATGTATGTATTTATGCATGAGCGCAAGTTTCTATGGCTATTGGCTGGCATATGTTAATCTGTTTATGCATACAAACAAATAACAGGTAATAATAAATACTTTTCTCTCTCTTCGATCGGCATTCGAGTGCATTTCGTTACCATTTTTTGTGAGTTTTTTTCCCGATTTTATTGCTTCATTGTGGGTGAATAGATGATAGGCATCATGATCACATACTTATCTAGCCATGCATTTACAAATAAACATACACAAGTGCATAAGTATGTATATACATACATACAGACATTTACTTTTATTTCAAATCTATAAACGCCTGTATATATATGTATGTATGTATATATGTATGTATATATGTGTGCTTGTATGTAAAGTCAACTTATTTACGAGTTTATTGCTTTGAATGTGGCTTAAGCCGTCGCATTGTGTCCAATTTGTTGTTGAAAAAATACAGAAAAATAATAAAAATTTTAATAAAATGATTTTTACGTCTTAAGGAATAATATCGATTATCTATTTAATTGTATTGTCGTGTTAACAACTAGTGGCGAACGCAATTGTTGCTATACATACATACATATTTATATATAATTATATGAATGGAGATTAAAATACTAGCAGCTGAAGCTTGTTGTCTTCTGGTTTTGTTTAACTAAATTTCAGTGGTTATTTGTTCAATACATACATATATACATACCACATTTGAGTTGAATAGCCATTGAAGGAGGCTTTCTCTTCAGCGGAAGTCAAGTTAAATTGCGGCTTTGTTGCGCTTATTATGAAAATCCCATAGTGAAATATATATGTATGTATACTCTCTTCATAATACTTGCGCTGTATAAGATATTCGATAATCCATTGCGTTTTGTTGAATTTCAAAATTTCGTGGGATTAGACTGAAATTTACTTAACTGAAGCGATCTCAGCAGGTTGTGGCGTTCGATGGCATTAGTTATCCTCTTAAAATAACCTCTGGAGTATGTCACAAGCAATTCGTCTTCTTCCTTTGCTTCTTCACTTTCTTCTTAGTAATTGTCGTAGGCTTCACTTATGCCATTTTAGCCTGAGGTTAACAATAGTTCATTCATTTTTTGTCGCTGTTTGGTGCCAGTAGGATATGGCAAGTGAAATCAGGTCACTCTCCACCCAATCCTTTCAACGGAGTGGAGGTTTTCCTTTTCCTTTTGACCCTTTCGAATGACATGACCTAGCCAGCATGGCCGCTGTCTCTGCATACGCCATACTAATTCGGTTTGATACGGATTGTGGCGAGATGCCCATCCATCAGAGTGAATACCTGTACTCGGCAACAGAGTCTCTCCCACCACGAATCCGACACCAAATTTGCGCTCCTTTGTATGACCGCTGTAGTAGTTCTTGGCCTAAGACAAAAAGTTATGAAGAAGAAGCTGCTTGAAACATCTGCAAAATAATCGATTACCATAGACGATAGGACCGGATTTAAATCCTGGTGTTGTGCTAACGTCCAAAAAGTTATACGAAATTAATTTAAATAAAAAATTAAGTTAAATTTTCCAATTGCGGGGTCGCTCCTCGGCAGGGAATGTCAACCCCTCCGAGTGTATTTCTGACATGAAATAAAGACTACTCGTAAAAAAATCATCAGCCGTTCGGAGCCATTCCATTTGTTGGGAGGGAGTCAAAGCACAAAACCACAAATTGGAAGAGGAGTTCGGTCGAAAATCGCTTCAGCGGTTACATTTCATATACATGCACATATATGCACTTATTTGATATATTTATAACTCCGTTCTTATTTTTTATTTAAATTTCATTAAAAAAATATATATAATTAATTAATAATGCTAATATAAAGTTCAAGACGTTTTTAGATAAAAGAAATTCGACATGTAATAAATAGATCAAGCCCGGTGCTTGAGGTTAGAACGGAATACATGGTTTGGAGAAAAACGCGTTCAAAACTTTTTGAAAGTTTGCCTTGCCTGCGTGCGTGCGAACGTGAGAGAGGTGTATTCGAGAAGCTGCCATATTCATCGTATTGAAAAATCTCTTTACACACATGCTCTACAAATATTTTGCTTTAATTTTTTGCATAAAAAAATCGATTTTTTGATCCAAAATCAGCGACGAGTCCGCTTAAACTAAATATTTGGGACCGAAATCACAAGTGGATTGTAAATTTTCAAAATTCACTAAATATTGAATGAACACATTTTTATTTGTAATAATTTAAATATCTAAGCTCTAGTAGTCAAGATTCGATGGAGATGAACCAAGTTTTTTTGTGACATTTATCGTTCAGAGTCCGGAGGAGCACTTTCTTTGTCTCTTCATGGCTTCTTGGGAATTAAATTAAATTCAACTTGATAAGTAGCTCAAAATGTGTTTATTATCTCAATATATTTCCCTAAACAAAATTTTGAAACTAACAGCAAAGGTGGCGCCATAGATTTCAAAACCAATCTCATTAAAATTGCATAAGTTTTTACATATTACTGCATAATAACAACCAAAAAAAAAACATATAAAAAATTGTTGCAAGCACATCTTCGAAATAAAAAGCAATTCACCCAACTCAATACGCACGCTTGAGCGACACCATGGCGGAATAAACAAACATCTGTACATACATATGTACTCGTAGTTGCAATTGAAATCAAATTGGAAGCGCACGTACACCCCTGTAAAGTATTTTTATCCACTGCCATTTACGTTCCCCCGCCAATAGTTTGGTGTGCGAGTCATAAATTCCAATTGATTAAAACCACAATAGCGGTGCCTTACACAGCAGTAGCAGCAGCGTCGGCAGCAGCAGCGACAGCGGCGGCGATGGTAACGAAAAAACCACAAGCACAAAAAATCTTAAAACCATAATAAACAAACAAACAAGCGAAAAGGGAGGAAAAACAAATAAAATAAACAGAAAAAAGTTGGGAAAAAATCGAATAAATAGCAACCAATTTAACTTTGACTTCGGTTGCATTGACAACAAGCAAGCCAGCAAGTCAGCAAGCAAACAAACCTGGCGTCGGTGGTGCGCTCTACAGCTGCTGATGCTGCTGCTGTTGTTTTTGTCGCCGCCGCCAATATTTGTTGCATGTAAAAGTAAAAGTTCAATTGGCAATTGCTCATGTTGCAATGTTGGCAAATACTTTGATCACGTTCGCCTTGCAATTAAGTGACAATTTTTTCCTACGATAAGAACAGCACCAGCAACAACAATTACATTGGCATATAAGAGACCCTGCCACAACGTATGCATGTTTGTCTGTATGTATGTAGGTATGTACATAGGAGCATAGGGTTCTTAGAGTTCGCTGTGGCAAGGTTGAGATTTTTACCTTTTAACCAAGCGCTGTTGGTGTGACACAGCTGCGGTAGCTGCAACAACCAATGTTGGATGAAAAAATCCTGTATAAAATTCGTATGCACGTGTATGTGCAGCGGATGACACTCGCTACCAGTGGTCGTAAGCTAGTATTTGTCGCTGTGCTTGGAGTATGTCGCCATGGCGTGCTCCTCGCCCAACTAAAGTTATTGAAATTCTTTTGATTTCAAGATTTCTTTGCCTGCTTTGTAACCCTATTTTATTTGGTTTATTCTATTTATGCTGTGTTTTGGCTGTATTTCGCTTACTGGCTGTTTGTTACTGTGCTTGCTGTTTTCATTGCTTGCCTATATTTTGCTCACGTTTGCCAGCTACACCTGTTGTTGGTGTTATTGTTGTTGTTGTCGTTGCAACGGCCCTACGCTACTGCTGCTGTACCAAACGAACTTTGCCTTTGTTGCGCCTTATACGCAGTTGTACTCAGCCAAAGTCTGCCTGTTGGCACAACAACAACAACAACAACAGCAGGAAAAAAAATAGTATCTTAGTTGTAGCAGCTCTTGGTGCTGTAGGAAAAAATAGTTCGAACAGTTCGAGTTCGGTTTTGGTGCCGGGTATTTGTAGTATTCCGCAGAAGCTAGTGGATAATTCAACTACTGTTGCACGCGTATGAAGAGTATGCGGCAAGCTGCATACAATCACACACACACACACACACACGTTGGTATATTCCGCCTTTAACAAGTTGGCATAGCTGAAGGTCCTGCACATTGCTTGAATTGTATATACTGAATGACTTTGTAAATTTACAAGTTGCAAGTATTTTAC